CCTTGTCATTTGTGAAACCTACATATAGTACCCATGAAATATTATGAAGCAGGATAAGATCATCACATTAATACTGTAGAAGGCTGAAGGTACTGAAACCAAAAGGATTCACTCAACTAACTCACCTCAGACGAAAAGCCACTCTGAAGTGTGAGAGACCTATTTATGAAACCACTAAGTGTAATTGTGAACCGTCTCAAGTGTCATGGACTCATGCCTCTTGGCAATTGCTGCAGATCGAAAACTGTTATTCCTCAACTCCTGTGGTAGGAAGTCCAATAAGCAGTAATTGGAAATTTGGAACAATTGATGATGTCTAAGCGCTATAGATCTTGACAATCAACAACCACAAAGTGAAACAATTTTTACCAAAAACTCACATTTAATAGTGCAAATTTTTTTCTAATGTTGGGGACCTATAAATTAAATTAAAGAAGAAAATGACTAAAGAGAATTATCATCATTATAATCATCTGATCAGGGTATATAAGCTGCCTTTATGGTGTCATTAGAAAAGCACAAACAATTTAACATGGTTAGATTGACAGAATTAAGCGTATGCAGCCAACACAAGAAAGAAAAACTAGAGAGAATATAAAGGTTAAATCAGAATTATGGCAATATGATGATCAGTGGTTTTGCCGAGCTAAACCATTCAATTTAGATTAATTGATCTATAAACTGTAAACTCGAAACAGCAGTAATCTTATTTTAGAATCACATTTCAGGATTAATCATTCCATCTACCTAGTTTTCAGATAAGAAGCCCTAATCTCTTGCGAATTCAGTTTCGCTATCAAACACCTAAACTATTCTTAGCTATATTTTCACTTTTTACTAGTTACTTGGTAATACGATTTGACCAACTGTACTGTAAGTTTGTAACTTGAATATTTGGAGTACGACTCGCGGTTCCATTAAATAAAGATTATAGGAATGAAATAAAATTTACGAATGTGTATAAATCAAATAAATTACCGACAATACAAATTCCGTTTATAAATCATAGTTATATAACATAATTAAAAGATGAATCCCAAGCTTACTATTAACTTTCAGAAAAAGATGAACAAAAAATGGAAGGCAGGCCTAACTTTTAAAGGGAGGAAAGTATTGCAGATGTCTAGGAAAAATAAAATGAGATTTAATTAAAGCAGAATGAGAAAAAGCATGACTTTATATATCAGCATGAGAATTGTTGATGGAAAAGAGCATTACTTAAAGTGTTTTTGATGACATTCACCTAAGAATTCATATCCAAGTAGCGCCCAAAGAAGGAAACAGAAAAATGAAGCATCATTAGTCTTGAAGCACCATCTACACTGAAACTCACCACCCCTCAATTTGACTGATTGTAAGAAATTACAAGTAAATATTGTAATTGAGCATGAGGCCTCATGCACTACATGTTAACCATATAATTCAAAAAAAAAAAAAATTGAAAATGAAAAAAAAAAAGATATATATATATATATAAGGTGCACGGAAAATATCAAACATCTTATCATGGTCAGGGCCATACTATGCAGTTTTTCCAGATTTATTAGAATAATCATTTAGACTTATATCTTTGACATGGCCACTGAAGGAACAACTGAAATAGGGAGAAAAAAAAAATTCCATATTTTCCCATCAAATTTTCAATTTAAAAAACCCTAATCCTCTTACTCTAAATGGAATTCAAAATTGTTCTAAAAAATGCGAAAACCCTTCTTGGGTTTCATTTAATTTCTCTCAATCACTTCAATTGTTGATCTAGGAAGCTGAAATTTGCTCAAAAATTAGATCAAAATTTCAAGATAAATAAAGATTGGGAGATGGGGAAAGAAAGCAACTCTTACTCTCTACTCGAAAACCCTCCAACGCCTAATTGTCTGCGTCCGGAGCCTTAATCAGCCACCAATCATGCAAATAAACCTGTAGAAGATTTATACACATAATCATGCATATATACACTGTATATATAAATATCATAGAGATTAATGAAAAGGGATAACACCTACATTTTTTATGAACGAGGAACAGATGGTGGTGGTCTTAGAAGTTTTCTTATTTTGATTGGGAACAACTCTTGATTGGGAACAGCTCTGTATGGATTCGCCATGCGAGTTGCAACAACTTCCTCTCTCTCTCTACCCAAAAAATTTCCCCCCTCTCCCCCTGTCACGGTTTTTGGCGGGAGTCGATTTCATCCATTCTACTGTAACCTTTTTCTCTTAAAAGGACCGTTTGGATGGATGGAAAGGAGAGGAAAACAAAGAAAGTTAATGATACGTCGGTCAAACACCTTAAAAAGCTAATAATACGTACTACTCCTATTTCTTTAATTTTTCGTTTGTGATGCAAAACCGATCCACGGCTTTATATATTGAAACACATAGCAGTGTGTTATGTGCTAGGAAGGTACCAAGAAGTTGTGCTCGTATCGCATTGGTGGTTGCTTCACTGACATTTTTTAACATTTCGCTGATACTTTTTGGACAACACTTCTAAGACATTTTTAATATAAGTCTATTAACTAATCTTAAAAATAATATGAATATTATCGTGACAAAATAGTAAAATATTGGTATATACAATAATAATGACATAATTTCATTTTCTAATTTATTTTAGAGCCATTCTTAATATAAAAATTATCAATGAATTAAAATTTTATAATACTATTACTAAATAGATGTATAAAAATTAAAAATTATATTTATATGTAGCCGTGTCCACGTCGTACTTGTGCTCTACTTTTTTTTTTTTAAATTTAACGTGTTAACGTATCCTTGTCGTATCGTGTCCATATCCCGTGTCCATGTTTGCGCTACATAGGTTATGTGTGATTTATTTACATTCATTAATTGTTCTACAGCATGGAAGCCCACCTTAGTACCAAACATGGTCTAATCTTAGGAATAGATATTTAGTGCGCTCCGTGCACCGAGCTAATCGAACCTATTTATGATGTGTATGTGATGACGCGCGTTATACATGTACGACTCTAATTAGCTTGGTATGGGGTTGACCTTAGGAGTGCTTGTAAATTTTGAAAGATAGCAATTATTTATCACTAAATTTTGTATTGCACCATTAACCTTTACATATATTATATATAGAGTCTTGATCTCTTGCTCTCCATGGAGTAAAAAAATTAATCCACACTTTTTATATAAACCGTTAGATTAAATCTAACGGTCATTTTTCAATCCCGCGTATGTCATTTCTTTTTAACACAAAACCATTTCCACGTTATTTTTAGTTTTTATATTTAATTTTACCATTACCGTGTAGACAAATGATTACTCTTTATGAAGAAGGTTGTGAGAAGAGATTCATCCATTTTTTTTAGTTACCTTGTCGTTTCTGAGGTGGATTCTACAGTCCCACTATAATCAGTACATCATTATCATCCAATAACCAAACTCACAAATTCACAGATTCAATAATGAATTTCATCCCAATGCCCTACTTCAAATTGAAATAGAAAGAACTTTTGTTCAAAACGTTAAATGAAATTTTCTTCAATTTCAATTCCAATGAATCACCTCGATATTCCAAAATGCAACATTACAATATATTTGTTGGTAAATTTACTTATACTAGAGAAGTATATTAATTTCCTTATACAGAGAACAATAAGATGTTTCTTAGGAAAAAGTTATAATATCATACTATTATTGCAAAATTGAAAGATACATGCCTTGTTTTTCTTTCAAATAAACATATAAATAAAAACATACGGGTATTATTTTTTTTTTCAAAGGTTTCTATTTTTATTTTGATAATTATCTTTTATTGTTACAGTATGTGGTAATAGTAAAATTAAATATAGAAATTAAAAATAGGGCGAAAGTGATTTTGTGTTAAAAGAAAAGGCCTAGGTGTATTTAAAAAATGACCGTTAGATTTAATCTAACGGTCTAAGTGTGGATTAATTTTTTTACTCCATATGAAACAAGAGATTAGGACTCATTATATATATATTCGGATTGTACATGTTATTAGGCTTCAACCTAATCTACGAAACATTTAATTCATTTCAAATTTAATCCAATCTTAGAGTCTAAACTCGAAAAATGCTTTTAAATCTAAAAACCAGCATCAAACTTTTAAGCCAAAGCTCAATCTCGCTCAAGGTTATGAATAAAGTTATGGAATTCAAAGTCAATCCCAGTTAATCCTAGGTTCCTAGCCTTATAATCCTAACTTTTAATCAGGGCGGATTATCGACTAAGTTGAGCTTATCAATATAGTAAGAATTATGATTGACCAACCTATAAGAATTCAAAGGTAGGGTATTATGAAAAAAAAAAAAAAAAAAAAAAGGAAAAAGAAGAAGGGTAGGGTATGATGTTTCCCTTTAGGAACGTCGAATTGATAACTTGAATTTAGAATTGAAAAAAAATTATTTTGAAGTCAAATTCAAAAAGCACAATTTTTGTATCTTTCAGTTTGATATTACGTTTAAGAGTACCGAATCTTTGACCTGGCTGAAAAGAATTCTAATTCCAAATCCAAGCCTGTCATTCGATACTCCAAACATGACATACATGTATTAGAGTGGAATTCAAATTGTACTAAAACTTTCTTATGAATTATTCATTTATAAAATGATAAAAGAATAAGATATTAAAATTTTGGCATTTTAGTCTACAAATGATATTTTAATTATTTAGTGATGTTTAGGAGGTTTAAGTAATTACGTAAAGAAAGCTGCATGGAATACTGCTTGCCCTGCGCTACAAGAAAAGTAATTTTTAATCACCCACTTTTAAGTAATTTTTAATCACCCACTTTTTATCACAGTTCTACATTAATCTTGGTAGAAGATACTTTCTACCACCAAAAAAGTGATATTCTGCCACTATGTTAATTGAAATTTCTCATTCCCAATTAAATCACTCCAAAACGTGAAGTGACCTTTGCAATTGTCGGTGAGGTTTGGTTGGTGGGTCAGACCCTCAGGATTCAGTTATTGCTTCATTCCAAATCCAGCTTGTTCTGGAACATTCACTACCCAACCAAACACAAGCATTTAATTATTTTATCATTCATATATATATATTTTAATTTATTCCCAACAAACCTGAAATACATCCTTCAACAAACATTTTCTTCCATAACCCAAAGAATATATTATATAAGGTAAAAATAAATATTCAGAAATCAACTCATCATCAGCATCAGTTTCATTCTCAAACACACCAGATCTAAGCAAGGAAGATCTTCGCTCTCCGGTAAGTTATGCATTCACTCTTCTTTTCTTCATTCTCTCTCTAAATTACCAGAATTAAACCATTTAAATTGCAGTTTTGTAGGTCTTTCTTTTCTGGGTTTTACTTTAATTTTGAGAACAGACGAAAAATCAAACTCTAATCAGGCTCTGTTTGTTGTTATTCCTTCTCTCTTATTTTCATTCTCTCTCTTAAATACCAGAACTTTCAACATTCCCTGTGCAGTTCTTGTAATTTTTCTTTCTGGGTTTACTTTAATTTTGATAATAAACGAACAATCAAACTAAAAAAAGCTCTGTTTCTTGTTATACTTTGACTCTTATCTTCATTTTCTCTCTAATACACCAAAAATTCTTTGCTGTCGTGTAGATTTGCTTTCCTGGGTTCATTTATATTTTAATTTTGTCAATAAACAAACAATCAGACTAAGAAAAAACTGTGTTTCTTGTTATACTTTCTCTCTTATTTTTATTCTCTCTCTCTAATACCAAAAAATTCGCCATTCTTTGCAGTTTTGTAGATTTTCTTTCCTGGGTTCATTTATATTTTGACATTCAAACAATCAAACTCAAAAAAAAGAAAAGCTCTGTTTCTTGTTATACTTTGACTCTTATTTTCATTCTCTCTCTCTATGATACCAAAAATTTCACCATTCTCTGCATTGCTGTAGATTTTCTTTTCTGGTTTGATTTTAATTTTGACATATACCAACAATCAAACTCAAGATTTCTGAGCAGGGAAAGAATGGACACGAAATGGTGGGTTTTAGTTATGGTGATGGCAATAGTGATGGTTATGGTGGGCACTTCAAATGGGGATTCTTCGACTCCGACATTGGTGAAGACGGTGAAGGGCAAGAAGGTGTGTGACAAAGGTTGGGAATGCAAGGGTTGGTCCATGTATTGCTGCAATCTCACCATATCAGATTACTTCCAGACCTACCATTTTGAGGATCTATTCTCGAAGAGGAATTCACCGGTGGCCCATGCCGTCGGCTTCTGGGACTACCGGTCTTTCATCACTGCGGCTGCCATTTATCAGCCCCTCGGCTTCGGCACCACCGGTGGCAAGCTCATGCAGATGAAGGAGGTTGCCGCCTTCCTCGGCCATGTTGGCAGCAAAACTTCCTGTGAGTCAAATTATTGATTATTGAGTTGCGTTTGGTTGATGGAAAATGGTAGGGAAAATGTTTTCAACTAAGGAAGAAGAGAAATCTATTACAATTTGAAACAGAAGAAACAAAGATAAAATAAAGATAAAAACAGGTTAAGTTGGTATGGACATATTCAACTTAAATTCATAAATGGATTTTTAAGAAAAGGATCTTTAAGAAAAGAATATTAGTTTGCATAGAAAGTAAGAGATAAATATGCTGACAACTTAAACCAACATAGGATCAGTTAATTAGAAATGCTTTAAAAAGTTAATATAATAGTAGAAATTACTTGTAAGAGAAAATAATGAAAAATGAGAATTTATGTGGCCGACCTCATTTACATGGGATAAGGACAAGGCCAACGATGATGGTGATTTTTCCTTCCGTTTGTCTTCGATGAAACAGAGGGTTAGGGGCTCAGCGCTTTATTGGATATGGATTTCGGAGTTTTTGCTTCTAATGGGTTTAAATCAGCTAATACAAAAAAGGTTTATGATAATTATTTTAGAATGATTTGGTTTATGATAATCGATGCGAGGACTCAGTAGTTTTAGTGTTAGGCTAATTGAATTGGTATTGAAAGGAGCCAAGGAACGTTATAATAGGTGTTCTGACAGATTTTAACCAATCATTAACTTTTAGTTGTTTGAATAATTGGACACTGCCAATCTTTGTCCTAACTGTTTTCCACCTGAGATTCCATTTGATGTGATTGAAATGGATCTCAATTTCCTTCTATCTAGTATTTTGATGATTATTTGGTGTAATCAAATCTAATGGTTTGGTTTTACCTCGACTTAGATTGAATTCATTCAAGTGTATGTCACTTGAACTTTATTTAAGGTATGATAATACGAGTTTATTGCCGTTTTTAGAAGCCTATTTCATTTAGGATTAAATTAAACCACAGTAGTACTGATTTGAAGAACTTTGTTGAATCCTTTTGTTTCGTTTTCTTGTGTCTAATGTTGGATGGAGAATCATGATGGTAAACATCAAATGTTGCAGGTGGTTATGGAGTGGCCACAGGGGGGCCATTGGCTTGGGGTCTATGCTACAACAAAGAAATGAGTCCCAGCCAATCATATTGTGATGACTACTACAAGTTCACCTACCCGTGCTCTCCTGGAGCTGAATACTATGGCCGCGGTGCTTTGCCTCTCTACTGGTATATATGTTTCTTCTCGTCACTTACCACTGCAGTTTCGTTTCCACATTCGAGTATTACTGGTTTCCCTTTTGTTGCCTTGTCATGTTCTACCTAGTTGCTCTGGTAGAAGACTAAGGTTGTAATGGAAGGAAAATCAAAATTCGAGTAGTTTATATTAACTTGTACTTAGGTTCTCTAATTATGTTCAGTAATTTCATTTTTACCTTGTTTTCAGGAGTAGGCTCACCTAATATTTTATAGACTAAATGCCCAAGAATTGTGTGTGTGTTTTATTTTTGCTCTAAAAACATTTGTTATAGGTAATGGTTTATGGATTACTTCATTTAGTGGCTCTTGAACTTACGATGCTTTTGTTGGTTATATCATAAAAGGAACTACAACTACGGAGCAGCCGGGGAAGCCCTGAAGGTTGATCTGTTAAACCAGCCCGAATACATAGAACAGAATGCTACCCTGGCCTTCCAGGCTGCAATCTGGAGATGGATGACCCCGATCAAGAAGTCGCAGCCTTCAGCCCACAATGTCTTTGTTGGCAACTGGAAGCCCACCAAGAACGACACTTTGGCCAAGCGGGTTCCTGGTTTCGGTACAACGATGAATATCCTGTATGGGGATCTTGTTTGTGGCCAGGGTGAGATCGACTCCATGAACACCATCATATCCCATTACCTACATTATCTTGACTTGTTGGGCGTCGGTCGAGAACAGGCAGGACCCAATGACATACTCAGCTGCGCCGAGCAGAAAGCTTTCAACCCATCCTCTCCCACCACATCTTCTTCCTGAGGTTTAAAGTGCCACTTGCCATCGTTGTCGACTGATCCTCTCTAAAGTACCATAAATAAGAGAGGCAAGTAAATGTTGCTGTGAGATCACATTTATATTTAGCTGTGTGAAGAAAATTAGACTGAACAGTTACAAGTTGTGCATTATATGTGTGCTGTTTGGTTGTCATATTTTAGACTCTTGCGTTTCATTTTTGCGACTGATGTAATCTTTATACATGTATGTGTTCCAACAATTCTACAATGAAAGAAAATTGTATTAGCTCTCACAGTCGTTGTACTTCCTTTGCTTGAATCTGTTTCTGACAATTCAGAGCCTTGCTTTTTAGCTTTGGTCTAGAAAATTATGCTGAGAACACTTCATACATTGAACCCGTTTCGCCTAGGAATAGTTCTCTTTTGACTCTTTGATCATCAATAGGGCCTCAATTAGGTATGGTGGCTAAAACTATAACTTCAGGTTGCAGGAAACTAGCATGGTAAGGTAAAGATTTTCCATACCGGATTAGGACTCCGAATGCCTCTCAAGTCCTTGTGAAACCCATCTTCGTGTTTTCATCATGTGCATCAATCTTGCAATTTTTCTGCGAGATGGCATTTGGTTTGCACGAATATACTTGACTATACTTTCTCATTCACGGTTCAAGCAACAATGGTGTCTTTCTAGGATAGGCATCGGAGAGGGAGATATTGAGGGCTTATACTCTTGCCACACCTAAATGAACTAGATATTGCTACAATATACAAGCATTGGATTAGTAGCAGACTTCTGAAGATAGCTCAAAATAAGAAGAAGATCCCTGAAAACCGTGTGGAACCTCATTAAGTCAACTTGGCATAGTCCTAGGCTGCCTACGTATCTCAGCTGTGAATAGCGTTGTGAGAATCAGGTCAAACGTAATTCGGGTTATGGTGAACTTGAAACAACTAAAGCAAACACAGGAGGACTAAATGGTGCTAAGAATCAAGCTACAACTCAACGACCAGAATCGAAGACTAAAATCGCCACAACTAAATTCCAGCATGAACAGAATGCATCTCAGCCTAGGAACTAGTCCATCATGCAACTTAGAAACTTCAGCTCTGGCAAAGTTGTCGAGCGGAGTAACGGGTCAGTGGCCTACCGGTATCAGCCTCTTATTTCCCAAAAGGAGGTCAGGGGTTCAAGTCTCAGAAGAGACAAGTATGTGTGAGTACCAACTAGGAAAAAAAAAAAAAAAAAGTTGTCGAGCGGCAATAGAATCATCAATGAAACAATGGATCGAATGTGCCTTGTCATTGCAGATGAGAACCCAAAACCCTCTTCATCATTGGATTATACATGACATCCCAAGCATTTTTTACTATACATTTCTTCAGATTAATTCCAAATTAATCAGCTTTAAAAATACCCCGTGTATCCACTAGTAAGATAAATGATTTTTTGAGTGGTTCTTTCAGTCGATTCTGGTAAGAGATGGTGGTTGGCGCGAGATTTAGCAAAAAGGAGATCACTGAATTCATTTTTGTGGTAAGGTTAGACGTGTAGTTGATATCCCATTGGCCATGGGGATTTTAGTGGCTACTTAATTACTATGAATATTTTTGTTATTTCAATATAAATTCAATATGGATATTGTATTTATATTTTTTTCGTAATTATATTGTTCCAATTGTTCTCATTTTCTTGAATTTAGCAATCAATTATGTCATATTTTTCATTATATTTGTATGTTATACTTGAGTTAATAAATGGGTTACATGACCCATTTAATATAGCAAGTTATTAAACCGGTATGTGTGTCTGTGAAATTATATTTCACTTGAATCATCGATGACATGCAAATTGTTCATTTTGATGACATGCAAATTGTTTGATGGCATCAACTGCTGCACTTATCTTCATTGACACAAACTTGTAGGAGGTCTCAAGTTGAGATTTCATCCATGACATAGCTTCCCAAGTATGTTGCCCAATCCATTGAGAGTTACTGGTTAAACAAACAGATTTATTGATCAATTTGCTTTGTGTGAGACACACACACACACACACATATCTATATTTGGTCAGAGTTGGGAAAGCCTAAGATCCCATAATTAATCAAAATTTCCGTACGAAATCAGTGCTTTTGGTGCTGCGGCAGGAAAATGAAGCAATGATCATGAGAGAGTAGAAGAACAAAAAACTGTGAAGTATCAAAATTATAGAACGGTTTGCAGATTAAGTAGCTTGTTGAGTGAGTCCTCTTTCAATCGAGCCCAAGATTAAGTCCTTATTATAAATTAAAATTTGATGGCCTCTTGCTAATTGACTCAGATTCTAAGCTTTAGCTAGAGGTCAATAAAGTGGTTGCATAATTTCCATAGGGCAGTTGAGTGTTAATTACTGAAATAGAAGAAAAGTAGCAAATATCACCACAGTGATAGCATGTTATTAGAAAAATGAGTGGCACATTTTTAATCCTACACAACATCCCTAACAAGACATCAAGATAATCCATTTACAGTCCATTCAAAGTAATAATAAGTCCATTTCAGTTTCCATAACCTAATATGTAGCACACCAATAATTAATATCTAAATCCAAAAACATACTAAGGAAAACGACATTCATATCAGCAATTGATCATAGCTTATTCATTTTGACATCGGCCTCAGAGACACTCAAGCCAAGCTTCAAGGGATTATTAGGCCTAAAGTCGAAGTAGTTAACATCCCTAACTACTTGAAGATGCAAGAACTTCCTTCGATTTTCTCTCTCTAAAATTCTTACACTTCAACAGAATGAAAAAGTCCAAAAAGCCTCCCCCTCTCTATACTCGTATGATCTATTTATAGACCATCACCAAAATTCTAACCAACTTATTGTATAGGGCTCTTATTCTAGGGCCTTCTTCCTTTTGGGCCTGACTTCATTATGTGAGCCTCAGATGTTGGGCCTAACTCTCAGTGTTGTGTTATGGGCTGAGTTCAACTGTTCGGTCCGATCCTTCTTTCGTGGGTGTTGGGCTCATTGCAGTACCCTTTTAGCTTGGGCTCGGACCTTCCATTCAATCTGATGCCTCACTTGCGGGTCGGGTCTGGTCCAATCCGTCTTTGGTATCTTCAATTGCCCCCATAATTACCCCCTAGTAAATAAGGGGGTAATTATTATCGGCGGCCAATCATGACACTGATGGCTCAAGAAGACCTCGTGGGAAAATGGACGGTCGGATCTAAAACCAATGCTTCGAGATTCCAAAGAAACTCCTCGTTTTCCTGACGCTTCGACCTTCGGGCCCACTCTGTCCTTATAAGTATCAGAGACGTTCTCTCAAACCTTTTTTACTGTCTCCATCTTGCATCACTGTTGGCCAAATCTTTGCTTGCCTCTCTTTCTTTTTAGTCAAATCAAATCAAATCAAATCTCCTCCGGCGAACCTCTGCGAAAGCTCCTTTTTCCAGCGATCTTGCAGTAATCTACGTTTTCTCCTTCTGAGGTTAGTTTCGCTTGCCTTTTTCTTTTGGAAGATCACTTTTTCTCCCTTAAAAACCTCATTCATTTTCACCATGCCTGTAGATCTAGATGTTCTTCGCATGAAACTTCATCTCCCTGTCGATATAGAAATTAGAAACTGCCCTAAAGACGTGGATATCAGGACTGGTGCCGGCCTTCTTCCCGGCGAAGTCTTGTTTACCCATCTTCAGTTGAACATCATTAGGTTTCCTTTGCATCCTTTCTTTAATTATGTTTTCAACAAACTAGGGATCTCCCCTCTGCAAGTAAATCCAAATTTTTTTAGGATCCTATCCGTTCTGCTTCTACTGACCCGTGACAGAGGTCTGGATCTTGATATCATAGATCTTCTTCTCTGTTACAAGGTCAGTAAGATCCGACTTGAGGAACCATTCTACCACCTCTACCCGATTGAAAAGATGTCCATATGCAAAGACACACTCAAGTCTGAAAAGGGTTGGAAAAGCAACATAATAGGGGTTAAGGGGGCCTGGTCTTCTCCAGCTGCAGAGGATTATCCAATCCCGAGCACCTTTAGCATGTGTTCTGTCTCTTCGTATAAGAAATTCAAAACCCATAAGAATGATTGTCCCTGCGAAATTTGTGTTCCTCGCTTTTGTACTTTCTTGTGCCGTTCCTTAGGCATTCCTTGTGACGATTTGAGCTACAGTGTTTGCAGGGATAGGGACAATTACTTGAAGAATTACATTCTGAACGACGTTCCTTCCTGCTCAGACCTCCTTACCTCAGACAACCTTCTCGCCATTTCAGCCCTCGGCAGCGCAATGAGCCAACTCCAGATTCCTTCATTCGGCAGAAGGAAGAACCCTCCTCGAGTTACTGTTGCTGCTGCTACGGCAACCTCTTCTACTGCCTCGGCTTCTTCTTCGGCCACTATTTCTGACACCATTCCGAACGTAGTGGCTGCTGATCCTGCCGTTAGCGTTCCTTCTACCAATCCGAATGCACTTCCTTAGGTCAATACTAATTCTGCTGTTACTGCGGTTGCTCAGGATAAAGAGCGAGGCAAAAGGCCTCATCCTGACAATGTAGCCAACCTTGATGATGCATCTCATACAAGAAGGATCTGAATTTCTTGGCCGGGTACACTCTTGCATCGCCCAGTCAATTCTCCTGCCCTCTCTGGGCCTGCTACAGCTGCAGCTTCAGCTTCAGCTTCTGTCTCTGTAACAACACCATGGACATTCGTGAAGCCGAACGAGACTATGTTCAAGGATGGTTAGACCGCTATGGCATATTACAGGAGCATGTGGACTCCCAAGGACATTGAAACCGCCAAAGGTCTATCCCAGAAGGAGGTGTTCAGCCACTTTCCCTTATCTGCCATGGAGGTAATTTTTATCTCCCAATCAGAAAAATCTTTATGCTTAACCCCCTCTGACCATGCGATCGGTTTAACCGATGTTCATGCATATCTCTGCAGACCCTGTTCGGTATGATGGCCATGCAAAAGCAGGTGGAAATAGGGAACGCCAAGGCTCGAAAGTTCTCTGACAGCCTTGAGGTGGCCCATAAAGAAAATAACATCCTCGCCACCAAAAACACAAAACTGTTCGTCCAGCTTGGAAAAGTTAAAAAGAGAGAGACGCTCTGAAAAGGGAAACTGATTCTCTTCAGGATAAAAGGGATGCCCTTCACCTTGAGAAGAGCGTTTGGCAGACCGAGCGCAACTCGCTCAAGGACAAAAAATCTGAACTCCAGCGCCTTTTGGCTGAGGAACAGTTCGCTCGGATGACCTTCGAGAAGAGAGCCCTGGAGGAGCGTGATACTCTGCTTAACACCATTAGCAAGGTGAATGGTGGTATGCTGGCTCTTCATGCCCGGTTTTCAAGGGTTGGGGCTCTCAGGTATGCTCAGGGGTACAGAGAGGGTTTCTCCGACCGTGCTCCTGCCGACGGGCAGACTGGTTCCACTCCGGACGAAGTTGATAAGGATCTAGAAATTGATCCTCCAGGAGTCTATGTTGATCCAGACTCCACTCCTGCTAAACACATTTTTGATGAGTGTCAGGAGATTGCTTCTTCCAGGGTCACTACAGTTCCCTCTGTCGTTCAGCCTCTGGACGTTCTTCCTCTGTCTACTATGGTCCCTTCTTCAACCGCTACTGAGATTGGGCCCCAACAGAACGATTCAGTTATTCATCTCGACTCCCCACCTCGTGAGGATGGGACGACCAATGAAAATGAAGAGGCGAGTCAACACAATCAAGAGGCTGACAGGACAGAGGCAGCTAGTTAGGACTCTTCTGATATTTTAATTTCCTGCTTCTTTGTAGTTATGTCATCTGTATGCTTTATCTTTTGTAACCTCAGATCATATCATGAATGAGATGACAAAAACATTGACTTTATCTGTGCATGAGCGGTAACAACCAGCTTCACAATCATCTACTTTGCAATGTCTGGCGCTTGGCTTATAATGCCAGCTGCCACTTACTTTTTGTTTTTAAACAAATGCTTAGCAAGTGCCTGGCGCTCGGCTAGAATGCCACTTGGCTTTTTATTTCTTAGCAAGAGTTTAGCGTTCGGCTCATAGTGCCAGCTGCCACTTACTTTGCTTAAGTGCCTGGCGCTCGGCTAGAATGCCACTTGTCACTTGACTTTTTATTTTTTAGCAAGAGTTTGGCATTCGGCTCATAGTGCCAGCTGCCACTTACTTTGCTTAAGTGCCTGGCGCTCGGCTAGAATGCCACTTGGCTTTTTATTTCTTAGCAAGAGTTTGGCGTTCGGCTCATAGTGCCAGTTGCCACTTACTTTGCTTAAGTGCCTGGCGCTCGGCTAGAATGCCACCTGCCACTTGGCTTTTTATTTCTTAGCTAGTGTTTGGCGTTCGGCTCACAGTGCCAGCTGCCACTTACTTTGCTTAAGTGCCTGGCGCTCGGCTAGAATGCCACCTGCCACTTAGCTTTTTATTTCTTAGCAAGAGTTTGGCGTTCGGCTCAGAGTGCTAGCTGCCACTTACTTTGCTATTTTTACTTGATCAATCTCTTAAAGAGGAATATTACTTTTATAAATCTCAGAAACTTGTACATTCGCTTGTATTCAATTGAAAATGAACAAAATTCAACATTAAAACTCTTAACTTTCTATTGATAATACCTCTTTAGAGACGTAGCATTCCGAGGCTTGTTAACCAGCCTTCCGACCATGGTCTCTAGGGTATATGCCCCATTTCCTATGACTTCTGCAATTCTGTATGGACCTTCCCATGGTGGCATCATCTTTTTGACTATCCCCACCTTCTTTTTCAGAACCAGATCACCTGGTATAAAGTCTCTGTGCTTTACCTTTTTGTTATGGCTATTCATAAGCGTTTGCTGGTAAGATGCGAGCCTTATTGCCGCTGCATCTCTCTTTTCCTCTAGCATATCGAGGTTAAAACTCAACATACTGTCGTTATGCTCTCGGCTCCATGCCAAACTCCGAACAGTCGGAACCAAGTGTTCGACCGGTATAACTGCTTCGGTACCATATGCCATGGCGAATGGGCTTTCTCCGGTCGGTCGCCTTGGGGTCGTTCTGTAAACCCATAGGACGTTCGGCAGTTCATCTAACCATTTTCCTTTATTCTCTTCAAGCTTCTTCTTGATACAAGCAAAGATTGTTCTATTCGTGATCCCCGCTTGTCCATTGGCCTGGGGGTGACTTACTGTCGCCAGCTTTTGATAATTCCATATTCCTCCAACAGCTCTCTTACTTGCTTGTTGTCAAGGTTTATCCCATTATCCATGACGATTGACCTCGGAACGCCAAACCGGCAAATAATATTGCTCCAAATGAACCGTCTCACATGAATTTGAGTTACGCTCGGGTACGGCTCTGCTTCCACCCACTTAGTAAAGTAATCTGTAGCCAGCAGCACATACTTGTTCTGAGCTCTTGCAGTTGGCAGAGGACCAAGCACATCTATCCCCCATTGCGCGAAAGGCCATGGTATGGCCATTACGTGCAAGTCCTCAGGTGGTTGGTGAATCAGTGGTCTGAACCTTTGGCACTTATCGCACATTTTGGACAATTCTTCCGCATCTCGCGACATGTTTGGCCAGAAGTACCCTTGTGTCATTGCTTTGTGCGCTAAAGACCTTCCCCCTGAATGGTTTCCATAGACACCTTTATGAATAGCTCGCAGCACCTGCCAAGTCTCTGTGGGAGTGACGCACTTTAAGTACGGCCCAGAAAAAGACCTTCTGTATAACTGGTCATGCACTATGGTGTATTTTGCAACATTCGATTTGATTTTCCTAGCTTCATCTTTTTGCTCGGGCAGAATACCTCCCCTGATATAAGTTATGATCGGATCGATCTAACTTGGCTCATGTGGAATAACATTTACTTGCCAAGGATCTGGATTCGAAGGTTCTGCAAAAATGGATGGCTGGTTTAATATTCCTACTGGAATTACCCTAGCCAATGTTTCCCCAGAACCCGAGGCACTACACGCTAGCCGGTTGGCATCTTCGTTATGCTCTCTCGGTATTTGGATGAATTCAATTTTTTCAAAGTTTTTGGCCTCCCGCACAACAGCAAAATGATAAGCCTCCATTATTTTATCTTTGGTTTCATACTCGCCATTCACTTGCCGAACAACTAACTGCGAGTCACTAAAGACAATCAAATTCCTGACCTTCAACTCCTTGGCAAGCTTAAGTCCTGCCAGCAGTGCTTCATACTCTGCTTCATTATTGGTGGCTCGGAATTCAAGCCGGAGCGCTTGACTCAAGGACGTACCTTCCGGTGTCTGTAATTTAATCCCAATGCCTGCCCCCATCTGATTTGAGGATCCATCGACGAAGAGTCTCCACAAGCAACCTCGAAGGTCTTCCTCTATGTCTTCTGAATCACATTCCAGTAGAAAATCTGCCACTGCTTGCCCTTTGATTGCCATTCTGGGTTCATATGTTATGTTAAATGAGCTTAACTCTATGGCCAACTTCGTCATTCTTCCTGAGAGGTCTGGCTTGTGCAGGATTATTCTGATAGGGAAGGTGGTTAGAACGATGATAGGATGGGATTCAAAATAATGCTTGAGCTTTCTTTTCGCATGCACTAGCGAGAGTATCACTCGCTCGGCCTTTGAATAACGTCGTTCGGCCTCAGTCATCGTTTTGCTAACATAGAACACTGGATATTGCTTCCCTTCTGGACAACGGATCAGAACGCCACTTGTCGCGATGCTGGATACCCCAAGGTATAGAAATAATTTTTCTCCTGGTTCTGGAGCTGACAGGATCGGAAGGTTCTGCATATATTCCTTCAAACTTGTTAATGCTTTGCGCTGTTCATCCCCCCAAACTTGTCTGCCATGGCTTCGTATTGTGTCAAAAAATGGTTTGCAACGGTCTGACAGTTTTGAAATGAATCGGCTCAATGCTGCGATCCGTCCCATAAGTGTTTGCACTTCCTTGACTGTTGTCGGCTCGACATTCTTAGTCAGAGCTTCTGCTTGGGTTGGGCTAGCTTCTATGCCTCTATGATTAACCACGTGTCCCAGGAATTGACCAGAACTCACGTCGAATGAGCATTTGGTTGGATTGAGCTTCATTCCGTAGTGCCTCAACACATCAAATACGTCCTGCAGATGTTTCAGATGGTCAGCTTTCTTCTTACTTTTTACTACCATGTCATCAATGTAAGCTTCCATGGTCTTCCCTATTTGTCTCTTGAAAATTTTGCTAATAAGCCTTTGGTAAGTTGCTCCGGCGTTTTTCAGTCCGAATGGCATGACTTTGTAGCAATAGGTCTCGCGCTCGGTAACAAAAGAAGTTTTCTCTTCATCAGTAGGGTCCACGGGGATCTGATTATAACCGGAATAAGCATCTAAGAAAGTTAAGTGCTCATATCCAGTAGTAGCATCCACCATTTGATCAATTTTCGGCAGCGGAAAGCTATCCTTGGGACAGGCTTTGTTTAAATTGGTGAAATCGATACATACCTGCCATTTCCCATTCTTCTTCTGCACAACAACAACATTTGACAACCAGTCAGGATAACACACTTCTCTTATAAATCTTGCGTTAAGTAGCTTGTCAACCTCCTCGGCTATGATCTGGTTACGCTCTGGAGTAAACCTTCGCTGCTTCTGCTTCACAGGTCTTGCATTGGAATTTACGTTCAAGGAGTGACAGGATACGGAAGGATCGATTCCAGGCATGTCTAGGTGGCTCCACGCAAATACATCGGCGTTCTGAGACAAGAAATCAACTAACTCATGTTTCTCTGCTATAGCAAGTCGTTCCCCCACTCTGGTTGTTCGTTCGGGTCGGAACTGATCGATCTGTACATCAACCAGGGGTTCTTCGGTCAAGTCCAGTGGCTCCTCCTCCCCATTCTGCTTGGGGGGAGGTTCCTGTAATTGCTATCTTGGGCTTGCTGAACAGATAGGTGCTTTCCCTTTTCCAGCATGCTTTAGTGTTACTGAATAACATTCCTTAATTACAACCTGGTCCCCATGGATGTCGATTACCTTGGCTCCGTCTGGCCCCAGGCATCTCATTACTTGATGCAAAGTGGAAGGAACACCTTGAACTCTATGGATCCACCCTCTGCCCATCAGAAGGTTGTACGAGGGATGGATTTCGACAACCACAAAGGTCTCCATCAGAACCCTCTCTGCAGCACGTACCGCTACCTCCACCATACCGATGGGTTCCACTCGTTTTCCATCAAACCCTAGTAGAGGATTCCCGGTAGATTTGAGCCGGTCCGGCTTGATTTCGAGCCGATCAAATGTATCCCTCGGCATGACGTTCGTACTACTTCCAGGATCAACCAGAACTCTACGTACCAAACTTCGGCCACTGTCAAACTAACGACCAACGGGTCCTCATGAGGGATCTGAACACGCAATAGATCTGTTCTGTCAAACTTTATTTGTGTTGATGCGCTCTGTTGGTGCAGAGTGTTTACACTGCCCACCCTTCTCTTCATCCGTGCATGGCGAAGGCGTGTTCGAAGTAATTCATCTGACTCCTCAGTAGGCTCAGGCTGACCGTGAATTGCATTGATTATTCGGACTGGTTGCGTATTGTGAGGGTTTGACTTCTGATTCCTCTTCACATGCTCCATTGGCCGGTTCTATTCCGTCGCCGGGCCTTGAATATAACTTGCGAACTCCCCTCCGGCTATCAGCATCTCTACCTGTCTCTTTAAGTTCCTACATTCGTTAGTCTGATGGCCAAAGTCAGAATGAAATGCACAATGCTTAGACTTTCAATGGAGTAACCAGCTCTTCCTCTCTGGGCCTCTTCTCAGATTTCCATGAGGAATGCTGTGGCTGAACCTGCTTTTGTCTAATCTTTGCTTTGGTTTTGTCCTCTGTTGATATGACGGATGTTTTTCGAGCGTTTGCTGCCTCTTCTTCTTCCAAGCGCACAAATCCATCGGCTCTTTTATTGAGTTCATCCATAGTCTTCGGCGTGTTCACTACCAAGCTTGTGTGGAATGGAGTGCCACGAGTCATGGCCAGTATAAATGCTTGAACCGCCGTAGAAGGGTGACATTCAATTACCATACTCTTGGTAAGGTTAAACCTGGTTAGGAAAGCTTGGAGGCGCTCATCCTCATGCTACTTCATTGTGAATAGGCTTGAAATGTCCTTTGCCGGACGTTTATTTCCATAATATTGGCTTATGAACCGATCACATAAGCTTCAGAAACTATCTACTGAGCCCCTCGGCAGGTTCTTAAACCAATTGAGGGCTGGTCCAGCTAGACTTGTAGGGAAACACTTGCACATCAAGGAATCATTCTCAGTGTTCAGAGCCATTTTTAACTAGATGTGATACACATGATCAATCGGATCGGTCGTTCCGTCGAACAGAATGAAGATGGGCATGGAAAATTTCCTCGGACTCGGAGCATTCAGAATTTCATCAGTGAACGGTGAGTCAACCGTTCGAGCTGCTGAACGGAGGGCTTCATTTTCCCTCTGGAACCCCGCGGTTGCTCTCTGATCCACAGATCTCCTTTCTGAACCGCGATAGTCGAACGTCGCCATGGAAGGCCGATAGGTCGGATCGAATGATCTATCCTCTACGAACTCTCTGTGCCATGGAGGTATAGCTTTGTGACGATCAAACTCCATTGCTTCACCTCGGTTGAGCGTTTCTTGATGTGGATCAAAGGTCATGGCTTCGTTTCACCTGATCTGTTCACGCTGTGGATCCACGTGAGTTGATCCTTCACGATCATCAATACGACGGGGATTTGGCGGCAAATCATTTGGCCGGACTTCCTCGCGGTGAAGATCTGTCTGATTGTTCCCTACCTCCTCGCCGTGATGTGCCACATCGGTATGTGTAACTTGTTCTCCAGCCGGGAGCGGTCGCGGAATCACCGGGACTTCTTGACGCTGCATTTCAGTCCTTAAATCTGCATTCTCTCTTCTGAGAGTTTCGATCATGCTCATCAACTCATCAATCTTCACCTGCTGGATATTTTCTACCGTATTGGAGTTCTCACCCCCAATTATCATTCCAGAACGGAGCAAAGGTATGAATCGTAAATTCAACTCTAAGTCGGAGCCTCGCCAATGTGAATCACGGTAGATCTGAACTCAAATGTTACGAGTTTTTCTTTCCTTTCGATAAATTAGAGCTGTTCCGGCGTTTGAGCTTGCCGGATTGAGTCGCGATAGAGTGGATCACGGCTACGTAAACCTAACGCCAATCTCTCAGAATCAATCAAGAATCCAGAATCTCTTCAAAAGCCAACCGCAATCTCTTAGATCCGGACTAAACTGCTACAAATTAAGCTTCGTCATCATCAATCAGTCGGAATCAACATGACATTGATCAAACAAGAATCAATCTTCCACGATTCCCACAGACGGCGCCAATTGAAGATGCAAGAACTTTCTTCAATTTTCTCTCTCTAAAATTCTTACACTTCAACAGAATGAAAAAGTCCAAAAAGCCTCCCCCTCTCTATACTCGTATGGTCTATTTATAGACCATCACCAAAATTCTAACCAACTTATTGTATAGGGCTCTTATTCTAGGGCCTTCTTCCTTTTGGGCCTGACTTCATTATATGAGCCTCAGATGTTGGGCCTAACTCTCAGTGTTGTGTTATGGGCTGAGTTTAACTGCTCGGTCTGATCCTTCTTTCGTGGGTGTTGGGCTCATTGCCGTACCCTTTTTGCTTGGGCTCGGACCTTCCATTCAATCTGATGCCTCACTCGCGGGTCGGGTCTAGTCCAATCCGTCTTTGGCATCTTCACTACTAAGGCTGGAAGCTCACGATTTAAAGAGAGATGCCCTTCTTCATGCCAAAAATCATTTTCATTGCACACCTTAACCTTAAAAAAAAAAAAAAACAGTCTCACCTCATTTCTTTTGAGTAATTGTTTTCATGCCAAGAAACTATAGGAGGTTAATTTCACTACCCATATCCTTCTACCCTTCAACAGATAATTTTGTACTCATTTTTTCCAGATTAATTGCAATATTTAAGGAACACAGAAAGCCAACCACTTTTGCCATTGCAAAAAAGCTCTTCCAAATTGCAGGATCAGACTTCTTAATATTGCAAGATCAGTAAGATATCTTCTTCTCATATTTGATCTTGAACCAAGCCACCCATAGAGAATCCTTACCTTGAAGAAAATCCTAGACGAACACACTTTTTGAAGCTTTGCTAATGTCTGAAATTCTCCTAATTCCCATCCCCCCTTCCAATTTAGGAAGTGTTGTACATTATTGTATGAGTTGTCATACGTGTACAGTTAGTATTGTATGAGTTGTCACCTACCCCTCATTACCATATATAGAATTATCATTTATAGGGTTTTCTTGTTCCCCACTCACCTACTCCCATAGCTTTTTCTATATAAACACTGTTGTATTATTGTATTACTTACTCAATAACATATACATTTTCATATAT